GATGAGACGGACGAGGAGAGAAAATGAGGAGAAGAGAGAGAACAATCTGCACAGAGAGAGAAAGAGGAGAGAGCAGAGAGAGAGAGAAGAGAAGAGAGAGAGGAGAGCAGGCGAGAGAGGAGAAGGGGGAGAGGGAGAGGGAAGAGAGCGAGAGAGAGGAGGAGCGAGAGGAGAGAGGGAGGGAGAGAGGGATAGATGGAGGGAGGGAGAGGAGAGGGGAGACGAGGAGGAGAGGAGGGAGAGGGAAGAGAGGAGAGAGAGGGGGAGAGGGGGAGAGAGGGGGAGAGAGGAGAGGGAGAGAGGGACAGAAGGGAAGGGAGAAGGGAGAGGGAGGGGGAGAGGGAGAGGAGAGGAGAGGGACGAGAGAGAGGAGAGGGAGTGAGGAGGGAGGGAAGAGTAGGAGAGGGAGGGAGAGAGGGAGAGAGGAGAGAGAGGAGGAGGGAGGAGGAGGGAGACAAGGGAGAGAGAGAGAGAGAGACGAGAGAGGAAGAGAGAGAGAGAAGAGAAGAGAGAAGGAGAGAGGAGAGAGAGAGAGAGAGAGAGAGGGAGGGAGAGGGAGGAGAGGAGTAGGAGAGGAGAGAAGGAGAGAAGGGAGAGGGAGAGGGAGAGGGAGAGGAGAGAGGGAGGAGGAGGAGGAAGAAGGGAGAGAAAGTAGAGCAGAGGGAGAGAGACGAGATGAGAGAGAGAGAGAGAGAGAGGGGGTGGAGAGTGAGAGAGGGAAGGGAGAGGGGAGAGAGAGAGAGGAGAGGGGGAGAGGGGGAGGGAGGAGGATAGAGGGAGGGAGGGAGGAGAGAGAGGAAGGGAGAGAGGAGGACGGGAGGAGGGAGAGAGGAGAGAGGGAGAGGAGAGAGAGGGGGAGGGGAGGAATGGGAGTAGAGGGGGGAGGGAGGCGACGAGGGAAGGGAGAGAGGGAAGAGGGAAGGAGCGAAGAGGGACGAAGGGAGGGGGAGAGAGGAGGGGAGTAGGGGAGGGGAGGAGGGAGAGAGGGAGGAGAGTGAGAGAGCGAGGAGGGACGGAGGGAGGGAGAGGGAAGAGAGGAAGAGAGAGAGAGAGGGAGTGGAGAGAGGAGAGTAGGGGGGGAGGAAGAGGGAGGAAGAGGGAGAGAGGACGAGAGAGGAGAGAGGGAGAGAGAGAGCAGAGAAAGAGAGAGAGGAAGAAGAGAAGGGAGACGGGAGAGGAGAGGGAGGATGAGAGAGGATGAGAGAGAGAGAGGGAGAGGAGAGAGAGAGAGGAGAGGAGGAGGGAAGGGATAGGAGAGAGGAGAGAGAAGAGAGAGAAGAGAGAAGAGAGAGAGAGAGAGGGAAGGAAGAGAGAGAGAGAGAGAGGAGAGCGAGGAGGGAGAGAAGAGAAGAGAAGAGAGAAGATAGAGAGAGAGAGAGAGAGGAGGAGAGAGGACGAGAGAGAAGAGGAGAGAGAGGAGAAGAAGAGGAGAGGAGAGGAGGAGAGGACGGAGAGGAGAGAGGAGAGAGAGAGAGAGAGAGAGAGAGAACCGTGATTTGTTCGACATATGAAACATATTTTCTCGTATTCGATATCGAACTCGCGTCAAATTTCGAGTATTTAATTTATTCACTGAGATCTCCATGAATTAATCATAAATATTCTGTGGTGATGTAATCAGCGCGTGTTCGAACATGGACGACGAGAAATCGAATGATGACGGTTGTGAGACGGTGGACAACAGGCCGCAATTCGGAACGCGAAGCTTGCCTCGTGACGGAAATATCTTCCAGCACAATGCATGGTAAGATAAAGCTCTGTACCGCACAACCACACGTGTACTTAACGTTACAATTCGATGTCTAATCGGACACATGTATTTCAACGTAACATAACCTTACGCAACACTGATGAAAACAAACAATGCAAATGCTATGAAAACTAATGATATAATCGAGTGTTTTTTTGCTCGTTGGCTGTGGTTAATTAACTATTAAACGTCTTGTACTATAAAGGGATAATGTCACGTGGAATGAGGAACAGGAAAAGCTCGCACAGCGTAAGGTGGACGAAAATTCGATCGTCACCGTATCACCCGAGCAACTCTTGAAGTATGAAACTGACGCGGACAAATACTGGGACAAATTTTACGGTATACACAACGATGGGTATGTAAAAATGTTCCAAGACTTCTTTGGGATTGATTGTGTCATTAAATGATATAAAATCCGGCGGTCAAATTGTCGGATTTATCTTATTGTATTGTATTTACATTTGAGATATATTAATCAGATGGATGTACTTTAATTGAGATATATTGTTTCAGATTCTTTAAAAACCGACATTGGCTATTGACAGAGTTTCCAGAACTAGCCCCCGATACGGTAAAACAAAATACTGAAAGACCAATGCGAGTAGCACTTACGAATGAGGCTAAAAGTCATGGCCGTAGACATATTAAAATCCTCGATTTGCCTTGCAAAGATGGTTGCAGAATATTAGAAATTGGCTGTGGCGTAGGAGATACTGTGTTTCCTATACTCGCGTATAATGTAGACCCAAAGCTATTTGTATATTGCTGTGATTTTTCCACTAAAGCTATTGATATACTGCAACAAAATTCAGCGTACAATGTAGATAGGTAAAGATTAAAATTCATCAAAAATCATTGAGAAAACACAGGATAGTTTCGTAAATTATATGTTGCTCCAGGTGCAAAGCATTTGTTCTTGATGTGACTCAAGAAACATGGACAACTCCTTTTGAAGTCGAGAGTCTGGACATTGTTGTACTGATATTTGTGCTATCTGCCATCCATCCTGATAAGTAAGTGCTGGAAATTTCTGTATTATTGATTGATTATTATAGTATTGTGTTTATTTTATATATGTTCATTCTCTCTTTTCATGTCTTTATTTCTATGTATTTTTATATTAGTTTTACCTGGATATCTATACTTTCTTTTTCTTTGTCATTTATTTAAAGAATATGTTAATATTTTATTATGTTGTTTAATTGCAGAATGCAACACGTTGTACGGCAGATACACAGGTATTTGAAGCCAGGTGGCTTGGTTTTATTTCGCGATTACGGCAGATATGACTTAGCGCAATTAAGATTTAAGAAGGGCAGTTGTCTCGGTGGGAATTTTTACGCGCGCGGAGACGGTACTAGAGTGTACTTCTTCTTACAAGGTAATGTATTCCCCCTTGAGATATGTTCTATATTAAGATCGTAATACTTGGCTGAAATTTTCAATTTTTCCACAAATATTAATTGTTCCAGAGGATGTCAGAACGTTATTTACCGATAACGGCTTTATCGAAGAACAAAACTTTGCGGACAGACGATTGCAAGTTAACAGGGGTAAGCAATTGAGTATGTACCGAGTGTGGATTCAGGCGAAATATCGGAAAACACTCGCATAGAAATAAAGAAGTTTTATAATTTACGAAAATCTCTGTGGGACAAAGTAAAGTTTATGTTTGAATGATCGCTCGAGGTAAAAAGAATAACGAGATCATTCTTTCTTCCGTAGAAATTAATGATGTCGATTAGCATCGTAAAACCGAACCGATTAAAAATTGTATCTATTTTTACATACCTGTTTTTTCAACAGTATTCTCTTAATTTGCACATCACTGTGTAATACACATAAAAAATTAATTCGTCCCGCGTGGTGCTTGTTGAGTCGTAATTTCCCTGAATCAAATGTACAATGGATAAATTTGATTTTATACACAATCAAAGAATATATAAATTTTTTAAATATAACAATGAAATCATACAAATAAAAGAATGTGTTCATTTAATAATATAACGAAATGCAATGCTTTACATCGGATTGCATCATTGCGTACATTATATTTGATATATAAATATAATTTATAATTGTCAGAAATCATTTTTTTCAAAAAGATTGCATATCGTTCAAATATGTTTACATACACAGACACTGGTAAATGTATGTATATGAGATGCTCCATAATCCTATCCCGACGACCAATGTCTACGTATTATTAGACAACACTTTTCATTAATTGTAATTTTTCAACGACGATCAACCATCAATTGCATCCTAAAACATTTATAATAATTAACTGCGCGGGGATTTTCCTTCCTCGCTGATTATACACGTAGGAATGAGAAAATGTGGGTTGAGTACAGCAGCTGTGTAATATTAAAATAATTTAATTCCACAATTTGACAGATAGAGTCGAGAGGTCGACAAGCCTTTATACGTTCGCCGCCGATTCAATTTATCGGCGTTATTCTCTCCCTAAAATAAGAATGTAACTGTCGTGAGAGAAATCATGAGCAATAAAAATACGTCTCGCTACGACGACTAAATCGCGGCCGAATCCGCGGCTATTATTTATAGTGATTCAAATATTCAGTGGATGGGAAAGGTTCGTCGTCTTCCCTGTTACATTTCCACCTGTGTTCCTGTGTACCATCAAGTTTAGCATCTGAGCTTTCTTTGAAAAAAGAAAGGTGGGAAACATCCTAGGTGGTGGAAAAAGTGTCGAAGTGTCGAAGACGACTGTTCCAATTGATAATTAATAAGAATTACCTCGCATATTGCATAATTTCATTATCGACTTTGTTTAACGACGCACCTTTCGCACCGATCCAATATTAATTCCTGACACCCGCGGCACGATCGGCTGTTCGTAATATATACGCGAATTGTAATAATATATATCGGCCGAAGACGCCGTGAGTGAGAACTATTCTAGCTAGGAAATATGGCGAAAATAAAAAATTCCATTTAATTTTACGTGATTTCTCGTAACAACAAGTAGTCTGGAAAAAGTAGTACGGTGGGAAGTAGTTATGGAGGTAAGAGGAGAGAATCGAAAATACGAGCGAATCTCTCGACTCTGTAGACTGCACGTTAAACTGCTCTTCACGTTGTGACAATGTAAAAATCAATCGTGCTCACTCCGTTTAAGAAAAATCATTAAAGTGGTCGACATCGGGAGGGAGGGGAGGCTTTAAAAACTATCTCGGAGTGTCGACGCTAATTCGGTAATTGGTCTACAAAAGTCGAGAGAATTTCGTGGTCAGATCATCATCATCATCATCATCATCGTCCCGAATTGTCCAATTCAAAACTTCATGAAGGGACAGGAAGACGGGGAGAAGGAGTTTTCGTTCCTTCGTCCGTCGTGTTTTGAGTTGATCTCTCATCGTTAAAGTAAATACCCTAAAACAAACGCTTCTCCCTAAGATCACTGGCCGCTGTCGCCTAACGAACGAGGAATTGAACAATTATAATTATGAAATAATATTACAATCGCAATCCCTGAACTTGTGATAACACAAGAATTTTTAGTCGATTACCGTTTGCAATATCGATGAATGACATTGCGCAGGAGCGACAGCGATAGGTATCGATGCTTGACAGGCCGTATTTCGCAATGTTACAACACTTGTAATATTACACAAGACGCTGTTAGAATTTTCTACGCTACATTCACATAAATCCAGATAGAGGCTTATAAATTGGTAAATGTACTTTCAAAGTGCCTTGAATTATATTCGTAACAATCCATAGACAGGATATGGATTCTTTATCCATAAAAATGGACGTTCTATATTACGAGGGAATGTATGATACAAGCTCGTAAAGTGTCACACCGAGATAAAAGTTTGTACCGAAATATTCGTGCTCATAAAACATTCCTCGGTATCCTCGGTATCCTCGGAAGTAATTAAGACACTTTGAAAACAAGCAGTACACAGATCATTACATTCCATTGCTGCCTTAAATTCCTTATGCGATATAATTAATATATGATACATACGTATGATACATGATATATATAATATAATATATATATATATATAATTAATATATGATACATATGTATGATACATAATATATATTACACATTATATAATGTACATATATATAAAACATACTTCGTAGTCGTGCTGTGTGGCCAGTATTACAAGTGTCCTAACTGTGAATCGTCGCGGCCTAGTGCTAATAAGTAAACGCCGTGAGTCGTCAATTAACCCGTTGGTCCGTACACGCCGCCGAGATGATGGGACGAGGAGGAGATCGGAAATACGACGTGAGTGATTAATCCTCGACCTTCCGTCGTGTACGATCCAGTTTAGTTTGCAAGTAGAAGGGGCGGCCGCTGCGTTCTCGCTCGAGGCTGGACCCCGCCAAGTTGCTTAGACTCCTTGGGGCTCCTGATTACGTGCTGCGCTCGCTTAGAAGAGCCTCGCTGGGTCACGCGAGCGGCGCCGTGCTGGAAGTGTCCTCGTTGCTGGTCTCCGCTGGTTTATACGACAGGTGGTACTCCCGTGCCTTCTCCGCCCAGAGTTTCTCGCCGGCCAACACCCTGAGGAAAAAAGGGAAAAGAAAAGGAACACAGGTTAATTAGGAATGTATCTTGTAAAGTTGACGAGAGTTTTTCAACAAGCTTCGAGAAAAAAAAAAATCCGCCTTTTATATAGTTCCTCTTCTGAAACTACAGAAAAGTTTTTGGAATTTTCAGTAAACGAGACTTTAATAAAATTACTTGTAATTTGCGAAGCTACTTATAAGTTTTGTCATTTAAAACGTTAAATTGGAAGAATGTGGAGATTGACAAACTTGCTAATTAATGAATTTTACAATGCACAGATTCTCATTCGCACTCAACGAGTTTACTCGACTTGTACGTACACCGTTGCTCGAACGCCATTGTGAATCGTCGTGCACGAAACGTAACGGGAAACGTACGGTGCAACAAATTGGCACGTACCGTCTCGTGTTGTCGCTAACTAAACTATCTGGAGCGCCGTAGACGGGTGGATTCGCGTAGGGATCGTAACCGAGTACGGAGAGCATCGGCGCGATGTCGGCCATCTCCCTGACTACATCTTCGGGAATGTTGCCGACCCATTTTGTCAACGCCGCCAGATTCACCGGCTTGATGATTTGATCCGACGATCTCTCGACCCTGGCGAATGTAAAATTAACATTAGCAACGTGGCGCGCACGTTTCATTTGATTAAATCTATCCAGTTTTACACCGTAATTACACTTTAATGTTAATACCGCGAAACATTACGTTATCGTGTTGTTATGTTATTCTAGAATTAATGCGATAAAATATTACATCGTTGTATCGTTATATCGTGTTTCCGTGTTAGCACGATGAAGCATTATTTTATTATGACGTTGCATCAAGTATTTAATAATACGCGGAGAGAACATCATTCTGTTATATTATTTTACCATATCACGTTGTATTATTGTATGGCAGTGTTTTGACGCGTATAGAGGGTTGTTTTCAGGAATCGGCTGAAAGTGGACGGGCAGTGTTGTTATTAGCGGTGTCGATATCCAGGTATTCGGATATTACCCGAATGTTTCCCGGGTGCCCGATTGTTGTGAAAATCACGCGGATGTGCCATTACCATGAGCAAAAAGTAGACACTACCTTGAAAAAGGAAAGGACTGTCCCTTCTTAGAAAAGAAAATCAGCTGATACGAAATTATCCGCTTCAGAAATCAATGATAGACAACAGATCCGAATATTGCCGAATGTTATCCGGAAAAAAAGATATTTTTTTTAAACGCTGGATAATACTCGGTAATATTTAAAACACCCGGATATACCGACGGCATTAGCGAGATATCTGGAATGTTGAAAACTCGTAACAAGCTCCCGTGTAGTTTTACAATTTTTACCGAAGGAACTTTCATTCATCTAATTTCGCGAGGTAAGGATAAAGCGCTTCGCTAATTATCGGACGGCTGGGCGGTCGTTTCTCTCTTTACTCACTTGCTTAGAGGCACTCCGCCAGGTTTGTTAATGAATTCCTCGTGATGCATGACGGACTCGTTCCAGGGCACGTCCAAAAAATTTAATATCTTCTTCATCCATTGACGCGGATGTAGCACCAGCTGCTCGTAGGGAACCATCAAGCACCTCTCCGGTCCCAGTTCTCTGCACTGACCGTACATCACGGAAATCGCGTGATTCCACCTGATGAGAGACTGCCGGTAGGACGATAAATCGAATCCCGTTATGGTAATCTGAGGAAAGAAGAAAAACTGTCGCAGAGAAACCGTATTCCCTGTTCGCTGCGTGAGATTTGATGAGCCGCGTTTTTCACATTTTGACAGCGACTGCTCGGAGAGACGATCGGATGATTTTCGCTGAATTAACGTTAAGAGGATTTTAATCTTTCGTCGCGAAATTACTTACTGACTGATGTCAAAAAGGCGAAGAAATTTATGCCAAATATTCCTAAGGATCATATCGAAATTATAAATATACATATAATGTATCCATTAAATGGCACTTGCCATTGATCGAACACATTTCCAAAGTGCCCCGGAAACTTTCTTTCCGCTCCAACAAGCAATAAGAGTGACTGTGAAATTAATATAGAACTTTTCTTTTTATAATCTCCTTCTCCCCGCGAGTTTAGTTACGTTAATTTTTATTTTACGGTTATTCGCCATTCGTCATAGAGCAAAAGAAAATTCTCCGAGCATTTTAGAAACGTGCTCGTGTCGTATTTTTATGAGTATATCTTTCTTTTTATTTCGACATAATCCGTAGGAATTTTTAGCACGGATTTCCTCGTCGAGTGGCGAGGAAACAAAAGCGCTCACGGCGCTTAAATTTGATCAATCCACTTTTCTCCGATGTTTAGCCGCTTCAAAGCAGAACTTGCGATGTATAGAGATAGAGATAGAGATAGAGATAAAGATAGAGATAGAGAGAGAGAGAGAGAGAGAGAGAGGGAGTGGGACGACGAGCTTTTCCGCGCAGACTTGATAATATCTTTCCGCGGGGGTAAGGTAAAATATAATCCGATCGACGTTGTTCTCTCACCTTCCTGGATACGATGGAATGCACTGTGGCACGTCCGTCGCGCACCATGAATATAAATTTGGCGTTCGGGAAGAGTTCCAGGATATACGAGCCCATCTTGAGCGTGAGTGGATCCTTGTTGCACAGCCGCGGCGCGGGCTCGGCGTGTCGCGCTATTATCTCCAAGCAGAAGGCTGCTATCGCGCTGTCTATCACCTACAAAAAAAAAACGAACGCATTTAGGCATCTCGAACCTTTCGGAGTCGCTTTCAGAGGAGAGAGATCAGCGTGTCGGTCTTCCATTTTCCGCTCGCGCATAGACCCTCGATGGAGACAAATGCGCGCTATTGGACAACATAAATCTCCCGGTACAAACCGGAGAACACGGAAAGTTCCCGCTGCTCCTGCGCGAGCAAGCGGAGGGGAGAAACGCGAGCACGCGCGCCAAGTATTACCTTCGATAAACGCGGAAAAACGCCGGCAACTTTTTGCCGCGGATTTTTCGAAGCGTATATCTCCTCGCGCGATGCTGAAATTATTCAAATCTGTCGAGATACATTTTCTTTCCCCCCAGCTCGCGACTCGCTGCCGGCGCGGGGCGAGTCTCCTCCTCCCTCTACTTACTTCTTTCGAGATTCCCGCCTCCGTCAACCGTAAATTCTCCTTCTCCGACTTGGACCAGTGCATCTTCATCTGCAGAATTCGCGGTATGACCCTGGTTTCTTGCCCGCACCTGGAACAAGGCCTCGTCAACGCCATTCGATCCAATCGATCGCATCGATCGCACCGTTGCACGGACGACACGATTCACGAGTTAACTCCGACCTGTTAAGTCCTCAACCGGCGGAAATGTTGCATTTCGGGGCCTCGAGCTTTTGAAAATAAAGATTCCAAATAGCGAGTCCTCAAACCAACATAGATGACCAAAATGAAAAATTATTCATATATTATATAATAATTCATCATTATAAATTATATTTATTCGTAATTTCGCTGTTTTGTTATTTAAGATTTTAGGTAGAAATTTTCACTACATGTACTTTCACTATTTAACTTTTTTTCGTAACATGCATCCGTTGCTTTTATTTTAAGCAAATAATATCGATTTTAGTCGCCATATTGGCTCCATCGTCTTAAATTTGAAAATTGTTTTCACTTCATATCATTTCAAGTCAAGGGGTTAAGCTGGGTACACACTGAGCGACCGAAACATATATCACACACACTTTATTCGCTGTTCATTTTAACTCAATATGTGTGATTCCTTTATTATACGAACACCTGTAATTAGTACAAAAGTGAAAATGATGGAGAGAGAGAGAGAGAGAGAGAGAGAGAGAGAGAGAGAGAGAGAGAGAGAGAGAGAGAGAGAGAGGAGGGGGAGAGAGAGAGAGAGAGAGAGAGAGAGAGAGAGAGAGTGGAATGAAGAAACTGCCACAACATTAATTGAAGCTTATAAAGAGCTCGGACTTACGGAAGAATACAAAAAATTCATTTTGCCGATCAAAGTCTGTTGCGTGAGAAAAATCGGCGAAATTGTTGAAAAACTCTTCAAGTCCGATTCAAACATAATTACGACGAAACCGGCACTCTCTCACAACGATTGGTGACTTCGCCCGACATTTTTCGTGTGTCGAACATACCAAATTTAGCCGAATGCGAATGTCCTGCTGCCAAGGCGAAATAAACGAGCAAACAACGAACGCGATTGCGAACGTCCCAACATTCATGTTCGTTGCTCGTTCGCTCGGTGTACACCCCAGCTTTGCATGAAACTAAACACGTACATATTGGAATGTCAAAGATGCGGAAAACTTGTGCAACTATGCCGGCGGATTCGGACTCGTTGCAAAAAGGATTTATTTTTTCACGTTATTCTGACGGAAATTTATTTCAGCGCGAATGCGACGAGCGTAAGCGAACATTCTGTGTATGTGTGCGCGTGTTATTTTGTTTATTTTAACGCTAGAGAATCCGCTAGAGAGAGAGAGAGAGAGAGAGAGAGAGAGAGAGAGAGAGAGAGAGGGGGGGGGGGGGAGGGAGAGGGAGAGAGAGAGAGAGAGAGAGAGAGCGAGCGAGCGCGCAGTGAAAAATAACCGGCTTGTCGTCAGTTCTCAGAAAAATTGCTCAATCTCACGTAATGATGCATTGATGTAATTTTAAAACGGACGCCGAGTGAGACGAAAGAATTAAGAGAAGAAAAGGGAAGCAACGCTCTTGCTCTCGCGTCGTGTCTTCGAAAACCTGTCGGCTTTCTGCGGCCGCTCTCCAACAAAAGCAGGCCGCGTTAATCGCCGGTTTCGCTGTTGATTCCAATTTCGACTTCTCGATTCGTCTCCTTCCTTCTTCGTCGGCATTAGCCCCACGATGATCTCACGAGACTCACCTCACGTCAGGGTGCGCGTCCAACATGGCGCGCATCAGGGTCGTCCCCGAGCGCGGTACACCGCCGATGAAGATGAGCGGCATGTAACGATCGTACGTGTACGTCTTGCGATCGAACGGCCCGATCACGTACTTCTGTTAGGCAGAAATCAAATTAAATTAATTTCCGAGCGCTTCCAGCCCGCATTTTCCCTCCCTAAACGAAAGGGAGAATCTGCAATTCCGTGTCGCGCTTCGTACGAAAATTAACCCCCTGCCCTCGCCCCTCTCTCATTTTCTTTCTGTCTCCCAATTCCGACGACGAGCGAGCGACGAAGGCTCGTCGTTCGCTCGTCGTCGAACGTTCGTAGTTCGCACGTAGACGAGCGAGAATTCGCGCACCGCTCGTTTTGCTCGAGCCTGGCTATCCTGACTGCTGCAATTAAAGCAAGTCCGCGGGAGAATTAATAAAAGCGCGTGAAAAGCTGCCGCGGATAACAGGCGTCGGCAGACGAGAAACCCGGCCGCTTAGTTGGCTCGGAACTTGAAGAGCTGTATTCACTAGCCGATAAGACAAGTTCGTCCGCTCCCCTCCCCCCAAGTATCCTTCAAGAATGCCAAGCATCCCTCCTCGTCCACGGCGGCGTCGGTGTGCGGCACTGATTAACCCCGGAACGCTAACGTCGTCCTCTGCCGTAGTCTCGTCGTCCGTTCGATTTATCGTCTAACTCGAAAAGTGTCGCAGCCGAAATGCATTCTGCTGCCGCAGAATGTCCGGTCGAAAATGGAAAAAAGGGAAGAAAAAAAATATCGAGTCTGCGGTGATCTCTCGCTGTGCACCGCGAGAGGAGCATCTGGCATTTGTAACTATACATGTACAGGCTGAGACACTTAAAACAGGTCACTTGAGTAACTTCGACGATATGCAAGATAGAAGAGAAATATTAAATACGGAAGTTGTAGGATTTTTTTAAGTGAGACGCATCACACGGCTATACTAATATGACCTCGAACAGCGTCATTAAGGTTACGGGAGAGCACCTTTTAAATGGAAGACCCCATATCTTTTATTGTATCATCTTTTTCTACCAATTAATTTGAACGACTTTTGTCTGAAATATTTTTTAATTTGTTTAATATTTTTCGAGGATTTAAGGAAAACTTGATAACTTTTTCAGTATCTAGCTTATGATAATTATTTGTCGGAAGAAAAAGTAGTGCTAGGGACTTTTTTACTCTATTTCGTCTCAAGAATATGCTGTTACAGTAGTGCCTCAACTTTTGTTAACTTGACACCTTTGGAAATTTCAAAATCATCATTTTTTCTATCTTGCATATTTTCAAAGTTATTCACTCTTTTTTTTCAGATTTTTTAGATTTTCAGATGCCTCACTCTGTGTATAGTCGCACAGTGAAAGAATTATAGTCGGAAGAACCATTTTGGCAGCGAGGTTTAGTGTCGCTCTTTTTTCTAGGAAAAAGGTTCCGGTACTCATTCATAAATTTATATGCCACGGGGACGAATAATTAGCGGCAAAATTGAATACAATTATACCAACAAAATTTTTACAATTAATTTTCTCACAACTACGTAGTTTAAAACAAAAAAGAGAAAAAAGGTGTCAGTACATGGCGTACCGTTGCCGCCAAAAAAAAAAAAAGCGCTGGACAAAGCGATAATGGCCGAGCATGTACGTATATCGTAACTGCGACATTTTTGTTTGTAAAACAACAGGAAGATATAGAGAGATGAAGCCGAAGATGATTATCATTTTGGCAACGTCGACTACCCTTTCTTCTCGATTTATCGAGAGCGCGTTCGCTGCAAATTCGAGCGTTTAGATGTCATTTAACACGCTTGAACGTATCACATGATGTGATTCTAGACGACAGGGAACGTGCAAAGGAAGCTTCAGCCACAATTATACGCTTGTGCGTACAAAAATAACACGCTCGGCTCTGCAGCGTACACGGAGAGCGGAGGAGCGCGTCCCTTCCGGAAGCGTACGCTTCTAGCGTTCGCAAGCAGGATCAAGGGCGAAAGGGGAGGAACTACGGGAGCCGGTAAACGCCGGGCTCGACGACGAGGACGAGGAGGAGGACAGTCGATCATAAAGCTCGACATTCGATCACGGCTGTTGTCAAACAGACCTTAACGGCTCGACGTAATTAATACTTTGACAGCCATTAATTGCCGTTTAATAATGCAGAAATTCGCCGGACCGACCGTTATATAATACATCGCGCTCGTATTATTATCGCCGTTATTATTCCGATTAATTATTATTGTATTATTATCGCGCGGTACGTCGCGTCGCGTCGCGTCGCAGCGATCCGCCGGATCCGACAGGCGGCGGGGAATGGAGAGCGAGATCCGCCCCAGGGAGCGCAGCAGGGGGGCACGGGGATGGGAGGTAATTAAAATTTCTCGATTAAATGAAGAGAGGTATTGTCCGGCGAAAACGCTCGGCGCTCGGTGTCTTCAGCGTCTCTCGACATCGACGTCGATATCGGGGCATCAATCAATGCGAGCGCCAATGGCGTTCTCTCTCTCCCCCTCACCCTCGCGCGAGGCTCTTCTTGCTATTCAAAAATTACGCGCGCTCCGCGTGTGTTTGTTTATCGGGGGATTCACCGGCGCGGCGGTTATTTAATCGCGTCAAATGAATCGTAAATATATCATGTCGTTTGCGGCAGAGCTGGCAGAGGAAATATTTGCATGACCCGTCCTTTCCGGGGATAATTCCGCGCGAAGGATAGAGGGGCGATAAGGGGGGGGAGGGGAGGGGAGGGGAGGGGGTAATAATTCGGTCAGACGTATCGCGACTCGCCGCGTTCAAGTTTAATCGCTTGTGATTCAAGTTCATTCGCTTGAAAGAGAAGCACTGCGTACGCATGTCGTGCTTTCTCTTTTCCGGCATAACTCCCGCTGAATTCAGCTGTGCTGTTTATCGAGAGAGAGAGAGAGAGAGAGAGAGAGAGAGAGAGAGAGAGAGAAATTCGGTCTCTGTTTAAACGCGACGGGACAATTTATTCTCCTCATTTCCCGACGAGTTGGCGGAAGGAGGGACGCTCCGCCACGCGGACGATTAGATTGACCGAAGAGAGCCATGAATTTTCTCACCTCCTTGCCGACCATCATGGTCGAAGGCATGTATTTGCCCGACCCGCAGAAGATACCCAGCTGATAGAGAGCGAAGACGAAGAGGAGGGCCACCAGGCAGGCGATCGGCCCTTTCCGCCCGCCGCGACTCGATAGAAACGACATATCGCCGGGTCAGAGACGGTCTCACCAGGTGCTCCGCAGGTGATCTACTACCTCATTGTATCTGCAACATCGTCAATTTCAACGTTATCAGCCGAGGAGTTTGCCTCCAGGAATTCTCGTCGAATCGCCGAATCAGGCCGTGCATCTGTCGGATACGGAATCCTGCAGAACCGGCCCTGATCTGTGATACGGAAAACTGCGACTTTTGCTCAACACAAAGCTGAAAGCCGCAGTTTCATCTGACCACGTAACTAGAAAAAATCGCGATTTTTGTTGAATACAAATTTTTACATTTTTTTTCTCTTTGCACTCGGATGCTCCCCTCTGAGGGGACATCGCATGTCTAGCGAACTACTCGGATGTCTCTTTTCATGGGACATAGAGACTTTATCAGTGATTATACACGATAAATTTATGCGAGAACAAATTTTTCAAAAATACATGTTTCCTTGGTGATATACGTACCACATGACATGGTGTTATTTGAGAGAAGAGAAACAAGCAACTCTTAGATTGTAGCCTAAGAGAAAGAGACTTTCAAAGCTGAAAGCAGATCGTATCGAAGTATCAAGCGGCACAGATCGTTACTTGCGCACTAAGTCAGAAAAGTAAAATTGGGAAGATAATATTCTTTTAATAAATTTCATTTTGTGATTTCGTAATTTACAGTTCGAAATTTCTGACCTTTTTTTTTAGCTTACAGAACAATGGCAAAACGAACCTGCGATGCATATCGGTCACTGTTTTCACACGTTACCACACGTTAAAAAAATATAAGATATGAAATTTTGATTATTTTGTCGTAAATATGTTCCTGAATGTTTAAAGATTCATATAAACCAAGTATCATTACAATACAATTACTTGGTTTCAAAACTAAGTCAGAAAAGTAAAATTGGAAAGGTGTAATATTCTTTTACTAAATTTCATTTTGTGATTTCGTAATTTACAGTTCGAAATTTCTGACCTATTTATTTAGTTTACAGAACAATGGCAAAACGAACCTGCAATGCATATCGATGACTGTTTCACACGTTACCACACGTTAGAAAAATATAAGATATGACATTTTTATTATTTTGTCATAAATATGTTCCTGAATGTCTAAAGATTCATATAAACCAAGTATCATTACAATAAATTACTTGGTTTCAAAACTACACTATTTAATATGATGCGATTCTTGTTTGCATATTTTCCTAAAAAGATATCGCCGAGCTTATTGGTAGGTAATAATAACCCGCGAGATGGCTCTTCGAATGCAAAAGGTTAAATAAATACATTTTTCGTTGAGAAGCTAGACACTGTGACTGTTGTTAAACGCGGAGCTGCAAGTTGCGACTTTCCTCGGTCACGACGCTGGAAAAATTGCGGTTCTTGTTAAATGCAAAAATAGATGTTATGAGATTCCCCTTCACCGCGTGACGCTAGAAATCGCGCGGGGAATTCTGTTGAACGCAACGCTAAAAATCGTCACTTCATTCTCGTGATCCTGCCGGCGTAACGCGGGAAACTTGGAGCCATGCAAAATCCAAGGGAGACCGCGGCTGTTCGACCGGGACCGAATCGAATCACGAAAACGCGGAGAGCTGCACGGATAGTGACGGAAATTCGCCGATCGCGTCGCACAGAAGTGTCTCTCGCATCTTTCTCTTCCTCTCTCTCTCTCTCTCTCTCTTTCTCTCTTTCTCGACACGAGGAGATCCACGCGGCTTCTCATCGCCGTGATCTTTTCTTCCTCGCTTTCTTTTTCTTGGCCACCTCCCGCCAGCTCCCATGAATCTTGCGCCGCACTTCCTCCGCTCACGTCGATATTGTTTTCGCGCTCGTTCCTTGAGCCCGGCATTTGTCTGGCTTGTCGAATTGTCGTCGTAAAATTGATATCCGCGCAGCGCGCGCGCGAGCCCAAAGGAAGAGGATGCCTCGCAAACGCGATCGATGTTTACGACGGCATATCCGAGACATATTGTCGCTTTTCGTCCGTTCGCTTCGTCGCAACGATCTCTTTCTCCCTCTTCTTCCGCCCCCTCCCCCCCCCCTCAAACGGTTCCATCGATTTTACGCTAATACACCGGCGATGTAGCGAGCAGCCTACGCCGCGAGTTGCAAGATCGATCGGAGGATGCCACGACACGGGTTCCACGTCGAGGTGAGACCTGTGCGCTTCCTTTCGTCCTTTTAAAGCTCCTTTGCTCGTGCCGAGCTAATCACGCGGCTGTCTCGCGCCATCGCACAGTGGGGGCCAGATGACGTTTTTTGGTTCAAAATTCTCTAGAGACCTGAATTTCCAACCGATCATCGACACATGGATGAGGTTGATCCTGAATAAATTCTGAAGAGACCTGTCTTGCCAAAATTAAAAAAAAAATTTTTTTTCTCAAATTACTAGCCCCAAAAGAGGAAAAATTATCGTTAAACGCGAGAAACTTGTGAAATATTCATTACTCGACACTTACTTCTATCTAATAGCGTATTCAGCGACGGTGATCACTTTCTATCTCCGTATGATGGCTTATGAGCTGAGGTTTATAAGCCTTGGGCTCATGGATCATCAGGTTAGGGTTGCATGTTTTGTTCAATGTTCTCCATGCTTTTTATTTATTGTGTCCATATGGCTTAATTCTTTCTTAATGTGGGCTGAAATGATGAGCTTTGAAATTCTGAGCTTTCTAAAAGGTGATTATAAGTTCTGGGGTCTCGCATTTAGTATCCATAGGCTCGAACCCAAGACACTGCACTTAAACGATAAACTTTTAAGACAAACCCTAAACCCATGAACCCTGAACCGATAATTTTTTTCAAAATTTCGGCTAGATTCGGCTCTTTGGAATTTATTCAGAATCAACCTCATCCATTGATGTCGATGATCGGTTGGAAATTCAGGTCTCTAAAGAATTTTGAACCGTAAAATGTCATCTGGCCCCACTGTGCGTCGCGTCTCTCTCCTCGTACGCGGCCCGGCTCGAGAGTTAACTCTCGTGGAAAATTTCCGCCGTGTTTCAGAGACGGCCCGGCCGGAAGATCAGAAATCGCCCGCACGTGTCTCGAATCCTCGTTTTCGGTGTCGCTCGGCGATCGTTTTCACACCGCGCTTTGATTGCTGCGTTACACCTTTCTCACTCCGCTCGCCCTCGGACTCGTGAAACAACGGCGCCGTTGCGCAACAACGACGGACCGATTGTCTATACATAATCGAACACGATTCGGGACGAATCGATAACTTTCCTGCCTGAACGCTCAGGCTTAATGCAGAACCGGCTGACCCGCCGCCGCCGTTCTCGCGAATCGATTCGTTCTCGTTAGCGTTAGTCGAGCGAGCGGACGTCGATTATAATGGCGAGGGAGCGGAGGGGGGGGGCTATTGGTTTAAAGGTGTACGTCGCTGGAGCACGTCAAACTTCTTTCATTAAACTTGCATTGAGGACGAGCGCGGCGCGTACGATTTACACGAGCTCTTCGGAAAAATTCGATCTGATGCTCGACGACTCCATATCTCCCCCCCTCTCCCTCTCTTGATATTCTATCTGAACGGCGGATTATAAATCGTTCCGGAGATTAATCCGCCGTGTGTTCTTCGCTTCGACTTCGCCCAATCGCCGTTCGTTATCGTCTGTACAACAAACCGAGGCCCGATCCGCGGAGCGGAAGCGCGTCGCTGCGAGCAGCGCTTTCCGTCACAATTGAAGCGAGACAGAGAGCAGGGCTGACTGAGAGGAGGGGGCGGGGGCGCGTAACTTTTGCTCTCAGGCTTGAAATAAGGGATAAGTGCGGGCGCGCTTGCCGTGAGTAGTGGCTTACGGTTAATATTGAATTTGTATGAGGCCAGAGAGAGAGAGAGAGAGAGAGAGAGAGAGAGAGAAAGAGAACGCGGGAGAGACCCTTAGCGTCCTTAGAAGGTCCGCGACAACTGCGGATGAGGCCGCCGGAGATGAAAGCCGCAAAGAGAGCTTATTATGAAGTCAACGTAAATACACGTCGCACAGAACGCGATCGCTCCTTCGAGCACTCTTATTGTTCGATAAATATTTGAACGGTGCAGTACGCTCCTTCTTATCCGCAGGATGTACCTGAACTTTATCGATAAACTCACAGGACTTTACTCTTGAAAAATATATAAGAAAGTCTGGGAAAACGTGTTGTCCGCAAGACTCGGTTCTTGAAATGTGGCCTTCAGAGGACGGTAACAATGACGAGAAAAACGCCGCGATAAGCGGATTGAGAATGCTGATATTACTTTTTTTTTTGCGTGTTTTTCCAGATAATACATCTGTCGATTTTGATAATTTCTGAATATTAATCGAAGAGTCGTTCAACGTCACACTGGCGTATTAGTATCGTTATTCGTCGCGAGCGAAATTAAAATAACATATTGCTTCCCATTGATATCATGGAGGTCTACGCTTTCCGGGAGTTTGCAGATATAACGGGAATCGTGAATAATTTTTATAACAATATGTGTATCTAGTTGTTTATTCGTAAAACACGATTCAATGAATAAAGTGTATTTTTTAAACCTGATATATGGCTATTGAACCTCAAAAACAAAAGCGTTTCAAGACATATATTTACTTATACTTTTTTGCTTATTTTTGTTCTTTATGTATAGATTTTATTCCGTAAGCTTGTCAGTAAAGTCAAAATATATTCTGTACATATATATGTATGATATATATATATATTTTTTTGTAATTAATTATATTAATTATATAATTAATACGCATATTATCCCAACATTCTTATCCTGATAATTTCGTACAAACTATAACACTATAACAAAGGATTATAATAAAAGATTATAAGATATAATACTATAATAAAATAAAGAAATAACACTGTAATAAAATAAAGAAAAGTTAGATTTCGGCAAATATTAGACGGAAGGCTGTCACATTTCAGTTTGCACGCTCGCGAGCGGGTTCCAATTTCGCCGAATAGCAATTTACAACAATGTGAGAGCGACGACGGGAGAAAAACGCTGCAAATATCCTCGTGCGCAGAGGAACGGCGAATTCCGCGGAAAGTTACGGCGCCCCATCAAATATTTGACTTCCACCTTTCGCGTGTATAATCGCGAACGGCGTTTCCCATCAAGCCTCCACTGTCGGCTCGGCCAATTTAAACTTTAATCGTGAAAGCTGGAACAATAGCGGTCGCATGCGAAACAGATGAGAACAAAAGATACGTATTACAACCGGTTGGGGGGGGGGGGGGGGGGCAGATGAGGGAGGAGGAGGGAGGAAAAAGTAGAAAACATCGGTCCCTTTCGTACGAACAGCGACTACAATATCAACTGCAACAACTCAAATTGCTCGGGCTCGCGAACTATGAGAGGGGCGGAGAAGAGAGAAAGACGAGGGTCATTATTCCGCGAGATTGGCCTGGAAATTGACCCGTTCAAATTAATCGCACGACGCGTTGTACACGTTATCGTCACTCAATCCATGTGCGAATCAATCATTTCGGGTCGGCCGAAAATAATTCCCAAGGAAATTTCCAGATGATTCTCCTCGGACCTCAGAATCCCAAAATTTGCGCAAGGTGTCCTCCGATATAATCTTTCGCAAAAGCACCAAACTATCGTGACACAGAAATTCGTTTTAGCAATATAAAAGAGAGGCAGGGAGCGAGCGAGCGAGCGAGCGAGCGAGCGAGAGAGAGAGAGAGAGAGAGAGAGAGAGAGAGAGAGAGAGAGAGAGAGAGAGAGAGAGAGAAAGAGAGGCGGGGAGGAAAGTGACGGAAATTCAAGGCCGGAAATTTGATAATAGCTCTCGTGACCGTAGCATCCGTTTATGTGTGCGACAGTAATTAATGTTACATCTTTTGAAAATTGGATGGTCATTGGCGTTCAATTTATTGCTTAGCAACGCGATTGATATTCATTGCCGTGCACCATTAGACTCGCCGAGACATGTAATAACGATAACTGCAATAATATTCATACAACAACAATTATAATAATATCACCGCAACACAGTGATAGTATTAATAGATAGTAATAAAAACAACGGCAATAATAACAGTAATAATAATGGCGATAACGTTAACAACAACAACAACAGCAACGGCAATAATAATAATAATAATAATAATAATGCCGGCAGCTGCAATAATAATAAGGGATTCGGTCATTTCGGCGCTGTACCGTGCGACTGCGCCCGACTGTATCCACACCTCTCGCGGTGTTTACAACGTTAATTTCCAATTCGACCGAGAGCTTTTACGGCCAGTTACCGGAATGTCCTCGGACCATTTTACATTCTACACGTACGCGAGTCCTTTTAAATATTTCACATCGATTATTCATATTTTCCGACGTTACGCGCTCGCGCGATAAAGCGATTCGCGCGCGCGCGCGCGCACGCGCATTGTAGCGAGCGGCGTGTTCCGGCGCGCGATAACGCGCGACGCGATTTAATCCTTCGATTAAAAGGATTTGCTCCATTTTACCTCGTACCGCTCTCTTCGACCGCTCTCATACGGACGGACGGGACTTCACTCAAGTGACCCCGATACTTCATCGAGATTCCGTTTTGTTCCGGCGTAGCTGTTGAAAGTCGATCGCGCTAGGAATTTAGCCGGGCGAGAACTTTGAAACCGGACGTCGAGACGGCAGAAAGCAACAACGGTCAAGCTCGCTCGCTTGCTTACTTACTTAGCTCGAGTTGCCATTTTTCTCCGCTTTTTATCACTTCGCGACGAAATTCCCTTCTCCTTCTCTCGCTACCTCTTTCTCTCTTTCTCAGGTCGCTTCCTCCGCAGGCGTTGACCCGTTAAAGTGGCATTCCGTTGACGGTGCCAGCGAGAAAACGAGAAGCAGCGGACGCTTTTCGCAACGAGCACTTGAGCGAGTCTCGCGCGATATACGGGATGAACGTTAAAAATATTTATTATCAAAAATCTCGCCAGTGGATCTCACGTCAGCGCTTCAGAGTTTCCAAAAAAAGATTCAGACTTTTCCAACTATTCTCCCCCCTCCCCCCCNGAAACAAGTATCTGTTACAATCTGTTACAAATCTGTTACAAATATGACAACAAAGAGCCTATTATATTAATCTCTAAGATATTAATCAGAGAAATATATTTGGACAAACTTTAAACCAAATTTTTACAACCTTCTATCTCGCAGTTTAGTCAAAGTTTCGATTATTTTTATATAAATCCAAATAAACGCTGTATTTAACACTGATCTAAACTTAGGATATAATTAACTTTACTAAACTTTACTAAAAAACTGGTTTCCAATATGAAAACATATTTGATCCAAGTATTTATATTTATTAATATTCATCATCTGTATATTCGTCTTCGTCGAGAATTTTCGAAACTTCTGCATCGTGTTCTTCAATTTCATTTTCATACAAATGTAAATCTCCTTCTATAAATCTCGCGAACCTAAAAAAATTTAATAATCATATCATATAATAAAGTATCATATAATAAAGTCATATCATATAAAAAAGTTCAATAATCATACATATTACTAAATATGTAGTTTCAACTTTGTTCATATTCTTACCTAAAATAGTTTCAATATTATATATAACAAGCTATACTTTTTAATCTACCTTATAGGATCTTTCAGCCTTAAAACCATCTTCCAAGGATTGCAATCTGGACTGGAACAGTAGTCCTGTAATTCTTTTAAAGCTTTCCTAGTTTCTCGTATCCCTTCCTGACGATACTGATCTTCATTTAACAATTTTCGCTTTTCAGGAAACACGTTTTGCCTCATTTAAGAAGATAAAAAGAACAGGCAATATATTATCTTGTTTTTTTCAAGATTACAGAAATACAAAAAGTAATCACATGTAAATAATTATATCAGTATTTAATACATAATTTATTATTAGAGATATTTAAAGTATTACAGAAAGATTAACAAAAATTCATATAATAGATTTATTAAACTGTTGATAAACTCAATAATACATTTAATTTACTTATAAAGTTTAAATTATTACTTTTAAACAAAAATTAGTTAGTTGTGCATGCGATAGTAGGTAACTTGTTCTTATAAATTTTTTTCTTGAATAAAAGATAAAAAAAAGTAATGTTAAAAATTTATTGCCAATTAAAAATACAAATGTTATATATAATAAGATATGACATATATTATATAAAAAGCATCCTCCAAAAATGATTTAAACAGAAATAAAATTTATACTATTGCTGATTATGGATACTAAAATATTTCCTACAAAATGTATGAAATTTATTAAAAATTTATCAAAAATACATGTTAGGTTAGAACTTAATAAAACGTTCAAAATAGTTAAGACCACATGATATATATATATATATATATATATAGTATTTAAATAATATTCCTAAACATAATTTAATAACATATATTGCTACAATATTCTGACAAGCTGTATTATATATTTATCAAATTATTACAAATGTATAGAATATATGGATGTGCTTTATTCGATTAAATAATCTGAAAATGCAAAGTAATAAATTTTTAAAGAAATGTGTTTCTGTGCAATAAATAACTGTAAATGGCAACAAAGTAGTAGCTATCGGTGCTATAAATCCAAACATACACTTACCAATATTTCCTGCCTCGCTCTAGAATTGTTTTTGGGAAATTGTACAAAAGTATAAGTATGATGCAGCATGAAAAAGATGCTTCACGGAAATAACTGCTATTATATACTAATGCCAATCCTGCAATCTACACAGACGTTAAACTATTTATATCAGTAAGTCTAGACAAAAATATGCTTATATGCTGCATAATATAACTTACCTGCAGAAACCATTGTATTATCTGTTTCGTTCTTGTATTGGTAACTGGACCAAAACGATAACAAATTACAAAACTGATCAGCGATGTTATAAGAATGTACCACATAACCCATTCTCTATATTGCATCGCGATCAATTGAGCATTCTCTACCAATGTCCGAGCAAGATAAATACTCATTGTTCCAGCAAATATTAAGTACATGAACTTGCCCTTAATATGAGGCAAAAATACATATGTAAGACATTTTGTCAAGCATTATATCAAGTACATATTACTATATTAAAATAGTTACCCGTGGCACTAATTTTCCTGCCATATATATTAAGATTAGGATAGACATAGTAACTCCAAATAAAATACCACAAGCATAATAAAATACCGAATTTTGACTCAGCATTTTAGCACACCAAAAAATCAGGATACCAATTCCCATTATTGTTAACATCCAGACATTAATACCTAGCAATAAACATTTGTATATTGTTGATATAATGTAAATTACAAATATATATAAAAGAAAAAAATATCCAATCTTACAAGATTAAATAAATTCATATACTTACGTGTCTCTGTCATACTCATTATATATACAGATTCACTAGATGAATCTATGTAAACACCTATACACATGTCTTCAAAAGGACTGATCTTTAATCGTTTATGTTTCCCTGTATCAAACAAGTTAAAACTCCATGATCTTTGATTTTCATCATGTTTTTGATGAATCTCAGAAGGAGTTTTGCCATCGTATAAAGTATATGATTCTGAATTTATATCCAGATGCATCTGTAATATAATGTTTCTATTATAAATATAATAGAATTATATAATTACATGCAAATTAAATAGAAATTTCCTTACAGTCATAGTCCTCCAGATATGTGTTAAGTACTTTGATGTAGCATTGTGACAATATGTTTTCAATCCAGGGTTATTATTCTCTACACTGTCACCTGCATTTAGAAAATGTATCTCTGAAACATTAAATCATATATGTATTAAAACCTTTTTAACGATGTATTAGGTTATTATGTAAGACATTAAGATATATTATACTCTTATTTGACTCATACTTCTTGAAAATAAGAGATTGACTCCTCTTATTTTATTTTTTTATGATTTTTATTCACCGTTATGTTGTAAATTAATTAGTAGAACAAATTAGAATTGATTTCTTAATAAGGTTAAGTGAACTTACTTGGCTCTTCTAGGATACGCCGCGCGAACGCGTATTGAGACAAAAAGAAAAATATGAAAAACCATTTTATCAATTTAGTTTCTCTGTTCATTTTCCAGTTTACATGGATTTTCTCTCCACATATATTGTCATGCCGCACGTCGTATATCCCAACACCATGAAAATAGCGTTGAAAAATTTGAAATAATTCGATACAAAAAGGAAGATATATCGTATTACGTGTCGAGTTATCGCAAATATATCAACGAGTTGTCCACTCGATTAATCGAAATTATCAGTTTTAATTTTTAACGCAAAATTTATTTTTGAACATATAACATAACGAAGAAATTAATAAAATATTCAAATAAGACCATACATACACACATAGCAGTTAAGTAATATTTGCAAGTATCAAAATTAATAATAACATAATAATTCAAATAAAAATATGCATTTATAAAATAATTACAAATATGTGTAGAATGATAATTTATTAAATTAATCTGAAACAATAAATTAAATATAACTGATTATGAAATTTGATTATAAAATAACCAATTTTTAAATAAAAATGCATTTGTAGTATGTAACAGTTGCTAACAACAAAGTAGTATATAATAATACTGTAAATTAAAGATTATTGTAAATAGATGTATTTACCAATGTCTTATATTTCTTGTTAAGGCGTTGCTTACAAAAATTTGTATAAACATCCAAGTATACAACAGCATAAAAAAGATGCTTCATGCCAGTAACTGCTATTGTATACCAATACTAATCCCATAATCTGCACAAATGTGAAATCGTTTATTTCGGTAAGTTAAGTTTAGAAAAATGCATAATGTAGCTTACCTGTAAAAACCATTGTGTTATTCGTTTCGTTCTTGGATTAGTTACCGGACCAAAACGATAGCAAATCGCAAAGCTGATCAATGATGTTATAAGAATGTAGTACGTAATGTATTTTCCATATTGTTCTGTGATTAATTGATTATTCTCTAATTGTATATTAACAAGAAAAATACTCATCAATCCAGCGGCTATCAAGTATGTAAAGTTGACCTTGATTTGAGATGCAATATATATATAACAAAAATATTTGATGAAATAATTATAATATATATATTATTGTATATGCTTGTATGTTAAAGTATTTACTTTTTGCATTAATTTCCATGCTAGATATATTAAAATCAGGATAAATATAATAACTCCAAACAGAGTACCGCATACATAATAAAACTCTGGCTTTTGACTTAATATTTGTGCATACCAAAAAATTAGGATACCTGTTACCATCATAGTGATTATTACATCATCAACGCCTAGTGATAAATAATGAGTGTATAATATGTTATCAATTATATAAATATGCAAAAAGTGTCTAATGTTAGAAGTGCTTACTTGTCTCTGTTATACTCATTATATACTTAGATTCATTAGATTTATTGGAAGAATCTAGGTAAACACCTATACATGTATCTTTGAAAGGGTTAATTTTAATTTTAGATCTATTTAATATTGATATGTCATCAAAATATGTAAGTGAAGTATTATTTTGATCATATTTTTGGCGAATTTCATTAGGTGTTTCACCATAGTATAGAGTATATTGTTCTGAATTGATATCTAGATGCATCTATACAATATAACATTTCAATTATAAATGAAATAGAACAAACTATATATCAGAAACTTGAAAACTTTCTTACAGTTATACTTCTCCAGATATGTTTTTTCATTTCAGCTTTGTGACAATATATTTTAAGTCCTGGTTTATTGTTCACTACTCTGTCACCTACATTTAGAAAGTGTATCCCTAAAATATTAATTAAATTGCATATATCAAAATGATTATTTTTTTTTAAATACATTAATAAATAATATTGGACGTAATGACATATATTTCTACTATCTTTCCTTTTCTTTTTTCTGGCTTTTATACTTTATAATTGTATTGTCTTTCTATATATTTATCCTTAATTCATTTCTACTAATTCATATTTAATATTATCTAATTCATATTTAATATTATCTTTTTTCTTTGTTATGATTTTTTTATATAAATAACCTTTATCATGATTTAATGTTTCCAATCTGTAACATTTAAGTATTAACTATCTATATAGGTTAGACAAATTTACCAGATTTGTTGAGAATATGCTGTGTGTTCGCATATTGCGACAAGTATAAAAATATGAAAAACCATTTCGTCAGTTCAATCGTATTTTTCATTTTTCTATTTAAACTTGAGCTCTGCACTATATTATTACAACACATCTGCAACACCGGAAGTATCAATACTTTCTCAACAAGAAGTCAGACAATTTGTCTACGTTGCATTTTTGATTGTTGGAAATTTTGCTAAACGATCTACTTTAAGACTAGAGTATTGAATTCAAAGTTTTACATCAATATAAATTCAATTTTATATAAATATAAATACATATTAATGTAAAGTAAATGTATTTTACACAATTTCGAGAAAATAATGTTTCTCTCAACTCAAAATGAAAATGATAGTATCTTCATTATCTAGGAAAAATAATAACACAGTTTATCAAGATGATTGTTTATATTGTTTTAGATAACTCCAAACACTGATTATAATACAATATATCACTATACAATATATTACAATATAATGTTACACTTTGGCGATGTACTCACTAGAACGATGTCTGATGTAATAGAGTAGTTTTAATATAGCTATAGGTGTTACACCTGAGATTTTATTGGCTGCTGCAATCTATGAAGTAGATTTTAATTAATACATATAAAGATAACTTTATTAAAGAGGCAATAAGCACCGATTATATGGAAATTATATTTTAAAATAATCAGATATCATCAAGATATTAAAAAAGGAAAAGATAAGAAAAATCTTTGATATAAATAAAAATTAGTTTTTATATAGAAGAAACAGTAATATAGATTTACCGTGCGTGGAAGATACTTTGTGAGTTTCTCTTTATCTTCATTGGATAAATTCAATTCATTACTACATGAAAATAAAACACACGATTATTATGATCACTTTTAAATTTATATGAGATAAGAAAATCAGGCAACAAAATAAGTCGTCAACGGTTATAATTTCTTTTACCTATTATAATCAATATCTTCTGGTATAATCATCTGCTCATTCCTCCTGATATCATCCACTTGGTTTTGCTGGTTCGCAACAACAAACGCATATTTTGCCTCTATCTGGAAAAGAAATCAACCGAAATTTCAAATAAATTGTTCTCGAAAAATAATTACTCTTTCAATCCATAAAATCCATTTCTTTGCTAAGATGTGCAAGTGTCCATTCATTATTCTTACAATTAATTTACACACCTCTACTCTTATCATCAGAGTTGGATCCCCATCAAGATGACCTAATAGTTCCGGCAATATCTTTGCCAATTGTGCAAATGTGATCTCGTCGTTCGTATTGCCCAGTATGTCGAAAGCTGACTTGTTTTGGATGGACTTGGTGTGTTTCAGTTTCAACATATGCCGCCACTTGTGATTCGACTGTCTCTCACTCTGAAGTAATTGTATGGCCTCCTGTATCTTACGTTGAGTATTCCATGTCCTGTCCATCCTTTCGCGCGAAACACAACCAACTTTGTAGCCTTTCTCTGTTAGTCTATGATCAGCGTTGTCCGGACGTAGACTCAAACGGAACTCTGCTCTGCTGGTGAACATTCTGTATGGTTCAGTAGTACCCTGTGTTGTTAGATCGTCGATGAGGACGCCGATGTAACCTTCGGTTCGACTTATTACAAGTGGCGGTTTTTTCAATACCTGGATACAAAGGAGAAGTAGATAAATTCGTACAGTACAGTTGATTAATTCGGCAAATTTTATCAAATCTCTAGTGATTTTTTCTGTCGAATCATTGGCTAGAATCGTAGAATCATTAGCATCTTTTGTATATATTTTATAAAAGATGAAATATGTATTGTTTAACATAACAAACGTAATATATATTGATAAAAATATATTGATTGTGTGAAATGGAACTTTTCCCCCCAAATATTTGCATAAAAATATCTCCTTGAGTCTTTTTCTCTATGTAGAAAGATTCTATGTAGAAGATTAGGAGGAATACCAGTCGTTTACATTTTTTCTAAAGTTAATCACCTTAGCGGCTGCGTTAACACCCGCGATGATACCTTGCGCGGCTGCCTCTTCGTATCCAGTAGTGCCATTTATTTGTCCAGCAAGGAATAGTCCTGGAATCTTCTTAGTTTCCAATTCGGACGTTAGTTCTCTGGGATCTATGTAATCATATTCAACACCATAACCAGGCCTTGCTGCGCAAGCACGAACAAATAAAATTATTAATCTATAAATTATATGACATAATACTAACATATTAAAAAAGATCTGACAAGTCATCTAACGTCAAAATTCGTCTTTTATAAATCGATAATGGAATTACATGTGATAATTACCCAAACGAGCGTTTTCTAATCCGAGGATACATTTGACAAGTTCCACCTGCTTTTCTTCCGGCAAAGTACAAGACAATCCACTAGGATAAATCAACGGCGAGTCCAGACCTTCTAGCTCCAGCCAGACTTGGTGCGTCGTTGTCGCAAAACGCAAAACTTTGCTCTCTATACTTGGACAATAGCGAGGACCCGTTATCTCTTCCGTGACATGCAAATTGCAATGCATATTGTCTCTTATAATTTTCGCGACATTCTTGTTTGTGTACGTCAGATATGTCGGTACTTGTTCGTCCGGCAATAACCACACTTTATTGTTCATAAATGAGAACGGTATAGGACATTCATCCGGTAAATGTTTTATACACTTTGTAAAGTCGATGCTTTCCTTCTCCAGTCTTGGCGGCGTACCTAAAATTAAAGAAAAGGATAAACATCAGAAAACATTTGAGATATAAAAAAGGATACACATCAGGAACATTTGAGATATAAATTATGTGAATTTAATTCATTTCAAATATCTTGCAAATGTAAGCGTAAAAATGATACACTTACCAGTTTTTAATCTTCCTACTCGAAATCCAAGTCTGTCAAGTGTGTTTGCCAGGCCAATACTTGGTTCATCGTCCATTCTACCTGCCGGTCTTTTTTCTAATCCAATATTTATCTGACCTTTTAAAAAAGTTCCCGTGGTTATAACTACCGAATCGCCAAAGATCTTCGTGCCATCTTCTACAAAATAACACGGCAGCACAAATTTAATGGGAGTTAAATCAACTCTTGACATTCATCTATTTTTTGTTAGTGTGTTATACATTTTCTGACATACTGAGAATTACTCCGCGACATGACAAAGAGTCGTTTGCCAGAATCAAATCTTCTACGGAAGATTCACAGATATGCAATCCTGGCATATTAAAGAGTTCTGCTTGGAGATGCTTCTTGTACAATTTTCTATCTATCTGAGCCCTGAGACCCCACACCGCTGGTCCCTTACGCTTGTTCAGAATCTTGTAGTGTATACCTGAGATGTCGCATATTCGACAACACACTCCGTCCAAAGCATCTACTTCTCTCATAAGATGACCTTTTCCGATTCCGCCAAAGGACGGATTGCATGACATCTCTCCTACAGATGCAATGTAAGTATAAACATTTTTATTAAATTAAATATAAATATATAAATATATATATTGTTCTAGGACCTGCTTTTAATATTCTTGTTTTAATTTTTTCAATTTAAAATTAAATTCTGTTGTGCCACTGGTAGATAATATCAAGATTACATATAAGTAATCCAATTAGATTATTACTACAAGTTATACATACAACAATTTCTAGGTATCAAACTCCTGTTTTGTATTATTTGGAAATTACCTATGGTACTTTTCTTCTGAGTGACTAGTAATGTCTTTGCACCCATTCGAACAGCAGCTGCAGATGCTTCAGTTCCAGCATGACCACCACCAACAATTATTACATCAAATTTGTCTTCATTACTATTGGTAATAAGACCTCTCAATAACTGCAGCTTGCCATGTTCTAAAGATATGCTAGATAATGATATTTTGATTCTATTAAAAATCATCTTGTCGTTTCATTATATTTTTGTACTTTCTGCAAAGAAAAAATGTTTCTTTTTAATAAAAGATTTATATTACTTCAAAGACTTCTACATGTTATATAATAATGGAAAAATTATTATATCATTCATTTGACTATTTTTAATTGAAAAATAAAATTTGACTTATTTTTTATTACGTTTGTCAAAAGAATTTTATTTATAAATTTAAATAAGTTGGTATATTTTCAAAGAAAAATAATTATTTTTCATTGAGATATATTGAATAAAAGATACATTTTTGTCCTATATGAAATATCTGTAATCATTCAGAGTACTATTATATATAATATATAAATCAATGAATAAAAATAATGAATAAGGCATGTATAAAAATAAATATTTATTACATTGCTGCATTACAAATAATGTATATACTAAGGACACAGAAATAAACAAAAAATATGTCAAACATACTTATTTGATATCACATATTCTTGATTTTTTAAGACCTTGTACAATGAACTATATTTAATTACGTTTTGAATTTTTGACAATATCAACCTTCTGCATAAATCTTCCTTACTCGTAAATTTCAAATCCTCATAGCTAAGAATGTTAAAAAATTCCAAAACAAAATCAAAGCAATTCATAGAGATTTCATTATAGTTAGCAGATTTCCATTTGGGATCTCTCAACATAGATGATAATGTATTATCCCATTGAACAGTCCAGGCAACCGGCACAACTTTAAACGCAACGCAATCGGTCCATTTCATCACGTTATTCACTATCAAACCGTTCCTATCGAATTCGACAATGTTACTCGTGGAATCGACTATTCCAATATGCAAGTCTTGCGCTGCATTATAATCCTCGAGAAAGCTACCGCGAGCCGGTCGAATAACGACACTGGTCGGATTGTGACCAGCGTTCGTGAGTGGATACGGAACGCGAAACGGGATTATGAAGAAATCGTGGATATGCGATGAGCAAACCGGACACGTCGCGGGCACGTTCCTGCAAAATACGCTCTTCGCCGGGCAATGACGAAAACACATTATGCCCGGATCGTTGTCCATGGCGAGAATGACGAGGGAGGTTAACTCGCGATGTGCACGCTTTGCGCCATTTCTGCGCTAAAAACGAAAGGGAGAAAGGAAAAAAGTAATACAGATTTAAAAAGGTATTAAAAAAAGCACATATGAAATTCGCGAGTAAAATGTTAAGCAAAAGTAACTTGCGAGTTTGTTAGATGTCTCATATGACAGCCTAACCTAACCTAACTTAATCTAACCTAATCCATATAACCTGCTTCTATAAATGTTATTTAATGGGATTTACGATGAGAATACGCTTGTGCATATTCTATAATATATCTGTTCTATTCATCTCATTCTTTGTTGAAATAACGAAATAATAACCAAGTACCAAATTGTTTAATTTCAAGCTTTCCTCTCGTTCTTCCTTTAACGGACAGCCAGAAACGTGTACGTGCCTTGTTCCAATTACCACAAACTTATTGTTTTATCAATTATTATTTTCAATCTTTGACATTAGACATTGAAGTTTTATTATCTATTTGTCATTTTTTGTTTTAAAGTTTAAGGGCTTACAGGAGCCAGAGACAAATCCAGCGTTGACTTTGGAGGCCTCGTGCGGCGAGATCGCGAACCAACACCGTGCGCGCGAGCGCAAGAGCAGGAAAGTTGGGTCAAGTCAGTTTGACAAAGACGAACAATCGATCGCACTGTCCTTGTTTTATTCACTCGGGCATTTCGCCGGCCGATACACGGCGAGAAAATGCTTTCCAGACTTTTGGGTGAGTGAGCCAAGTGTCGCAGTGACTTACGTGCAATATCATTTTACAAATTGACATATTTTGTCTAGCTGACGTTATATATCACCGTCAAATTATTATAGCATGTTCCTTATATTATTCCCGAGATCTCCACAAAGCCAGATTTTGCAATCCGGCCGTTCAAAATTTATGAAAAATAAATGAAGCGTCCGCCGTACCAAGCATCGCAGCGAATCACTCCAAAAATAATTTTACAAGATGCAAAATTTCGCCTCGTTAACGATACGTATAATTGCTAAACTGTTACAGCATCTTCCTTGAACTATCCCTGAGGACCTTACACAGCCAGATTTTACAATCCGGCCGTCCAAAATTTATAATATATAAATAAAATATCAACCGTACCAGGAATTGCAGCGAGTCAGGTGGAATACCATTTTACAAGAAGCAATATTTTGCCTTATTGACGTAATGACCATGAACTTGTTATAGTTACTTGTTATATATCTTCCTACAACTATTTCCGAGATCTCTACAGAGTTAGATTTTACAAATAGGCTGTCAACAATTTATTATACATAAATAAAGTATCAGCTGTACTAAATTGCAGCGAGTCAGGCGGAATACAATTTTATAAGAACAAATATATTGTCTCGTTGACAATATATATAACCGCCAAATTATTATGGTATCTTCCTTGAACTATCCCCGAGAACCCTACAGAGCCAGATTTTGCAATCCGGCCGTCAAAAATTTATCATACATTAATAAAGCGTTCGCTGTACCAAGCGTCGCTGCGAATCACTCGAAATATCATTTCACGAGATGCAATATTTCGTCTCTTTGACGATACGTATTATTACCAAATTATTGCAGCATCTTCTTCGTACTATTCCCGAGATCAGTACAAAGCCGATTTTGCAATCCGGTCGCCAAAAATTCATAATATATAAATAAAGCGCCCGTCGTATCAGGCGTTGGAGCGAGTCAGTTGAAAAATCATTGTAGGAGATGCAAAATTTCACCTCGTTGACGATATGTTTCACCGCCATATTGTTATAGCATCTTTTTTAACTACCCCCGAAAAACCTACAGAGCCAGATTTTGCAGTGAGGCTGTGAGAAATGTATCATAAATAAATAAAGATGTATGAAGCATCGAAACGGATCGCGTACAATACCATTTTATAAAATGAGATATATTACTTCACTGATGTAATATATCATCATCATATTGTTATTGCATATCTCTAAAACTATTCCCAAGATTCTCACAAAGCCAGATTTTGCAATCGGGCTGTCTAACTTTTATTATAAATAAATAAAGATGCATCAAGCGTCAAAGTGGATCACGCGAATACAATATCACAAGAAGAGATTTCGCCTCGTTGGCGATATATAGGGTGCACGATTTATCTGAAGACATTGAAATATCTCGAGAACTATGCATTGGATAAAAAAAAGTGGTTAATGAAAGTTATTAGTCTCGAAGGGGGACATCCAATGATACCAAACTCGACCTCCCACCCTACCCCCTGGGGGTGGGGGTTGGGGGCAACTTTGGAATCTTAAATGGAAACCCCCATTTTTTATTGCAGATATGGATTCTACGCCACAAAATACATAAATTTTGTCCGAAACTTTTTTTTTGATTCGTGATAGATGGCGCTGTAATCGCAAAAAATTATATTTTCCGCAATTCTCCAGAAATGATCATTGGATTGAGAAATAAAAAATACCTGTTCAATATTTTTAAAGAACATAATAAAAGTTATTCCCCCTCCCATCCTTTCGGGGTAGGGTGGGTGGTAACGTTCAAATCTGCATGACGGTTGCCCAGCGCATAACTCAATAGCAGCACGGGAAGTATTAGACCGTGATTACAATGGTCGGTAGATTGGCAGAGGTGGCCCGATTAATTAGCCTGCTAGGTCGCCTGATTTGACATCGCCGGATTTCTTTCTGTGGGGTTACCTAAAAAATAAGGTTTATCAACAAGTGCCAACAACTCGTGAAAACATGGTAGAACGCATAAGAAACGCTTGCGCTGAAACTCCCGCAGATATGCTTCTATCCTGTGTACAGACATTTGAAAAAAGGATCAATAAGTGTATTGAAGTTGAAGGTAAAAATTTCGAACACTTACTCTAATTAATTAAACAGTGAGAGGCAAGGGGACTCACATTAAAAAAGCACTCGAAGGGAACATAAAACTACTACGTCCTCGTTGTTGTTCCTGTGTAACGCTAAAAGTAGTTTCTCGGAAAAATTCAACGCTATCTATCACGAATGAAAAAAATTGTTTCAATAAAAATTTCACGTACAATCTAATTCTGCAATGAAAAATGTGGGTCCCCATTTGAGATTTGAACGTTATCACCCACCCTACTCCGAGAGGATGGGAGGGGGAATAACTTTTATTATGTTCTTTAAAAATATTGAACAGGTATTTTTTATTTCTCAATCCAATGATCATTTCTGCAGAATTGCGGAAAATATAATTTTTTGCGATTACAGCGCCATCTATCAGGAATCAAAAAAAAAGTTTCGGACAAAATTTACGTATTTTGTGGCGTAGAATCCGTATCTGCAATAAAAAATGGAGGTTTCCATTTAAGATTTCAAAGTTGCCCCCAACCCCTACCCCCAGGGGGTGGGGTGGGAGCTCGAGTTTGGTATCATTGGATGTCCCCCTTCGAGACTAACAACTTTCATTAACCACTTTTTTTTATCCAATGCATAGTTCTCGAGATATTTCAATGTCTTCAGATAAATCGTGCACCCTGTATATAACCGCCAAATTGATATGGAATATTCCTTGAACTATTATCCAGGTCCCTACAGAGCCAAATTTTGCATTCTGGCTGTCAAAAATTTATCATATATTAAATCGTGCGTCGTACGAAACATCGCAGCGAGTCCTGCGAAATACCATATTACAAGAAAAAATATTTTTCCTCGTTGCTGTCATATATCAGCCCCGAATTGTTATAACATATTCCTCGATCTATCTCCGAGCTCTCTACAAAGCCAGATTTCGCAATCAGGCCGCCTAACATTTATCGTATATAAAAGACTGTACCGAGCATTGCAGCATGTCACGTACAATTTTGGAACATGAGAAATATTGCCTCGTTAATGTAATATATCACCATCAAATTGTTCGACCGTATTCCTTGTATTATTTCTAACCTCATTATAAAGCAGAGTTTTGATTATTAACACATATATATATTATAAGCGACTGTACGGGACAACAACAGGTAACTGTTAACTGTTAACTCCTACAGATAACTGTAGGAACCATTAAAGTTGTTGTAATATTAAAAGTTTATTAATGAATTTATTTTTATTTCTTATATTGCAGGACCGATTTTGTAAATATATATATAGGGTGCTAAATTTCAAACGTAACAGGTAAGAAATCTCAAAAACTATGAAAGATATAAAAAAAAGCTAAAACACCTGTTCCATGATTTCGAAGAGGAAAGAGAATGGCATTATCAGTTTTCATTTGGAAGGCATTTTTTTATTTTATTTTTTATTTGAAAGGCATTTTCAAAGTTGGTTGAAGGTCAACTTAATTTTTTTAAGTTGAAAGCCCAATTTTTTATTATATCTTCTTTTTCTACCAATTAATTTGAACAACTTTTGTGAAACATTTTTTTATTTGCCTAATATTTTTTTAGAGATATTTAAGGTAAACTTGGTAACTTTTTCAACATTTAACTTACGATATCTCGCTAACTATTCGTCGACAGAAAAAATAGACAGAAATATTAGACTTTTTTACTTTATTTACTATCAAGAATATATTACTATAATAGTGTTCTAACTTTTGTTAATGTAATAATTCTGAAATTTCCAAAGGTCTATAAGTTAACAAAAGTTAGGGCACTATGATAATAATATATTCTTGATAATAAATAAAGTAAAAGAGTCTAATACTATTTTTTCTTTTGACGAATAGTTAACGAGATATCGTAAGTTAAATGTTGGAAAAGTTACCAAGTTTTCCTTAAATATTAAATATTTCAAAAAATATTAGGCAAATAAAAAAATGTTTCAGACAAAAGTTGTTAAAATTAATTGGTAGAAAAAGAAAATATAATAAAAAATTGGGTTTTCTATTTAAAAAAATTAAGTTGACCTTCAACTGACCTTGAAAATGCCCTCCAAATAAAAAACTGATAATGCCATTCTGTTTTCCCTTCGAAATCATGGAACAGGTGTTTTAGTTTTTTTTAATATCTTTCATAGTTTTCGAGATTTTTTATCTGTTACGTTTGAAAGTTAGCACCCTGTATATATATTTACAAAATCGGTCCTGAAATATAAGAAATAAAAATAAATTCATTAATAAACTTCTAATATTACAACAACTTTAATGGTTCCTACAGTTACCAGGTGTGTCGGTAATTCCTTTCCGGTTTTTTCGCTAAAGAAAACACGTTATTTACAATGGATAGTTAAAATATATTTATTCAAAGTATTGGCCATTTGATTCTATACATTTTGCCCATCTCTCAGGCAATTTATGGATGCCATTCCAAAAGAACTGTTTCTCCTTTGAGCTAAACCATTCATCGAGCCATTTTTTAACTTCTTCGAAATCGGCGAAGTACTGCTCTGCAAGCGCGTGCCCCATCGATGCGAAAAGGTGGTAGTCGGGTGGAGCCAGGTCTGGAGAGTACGGCGGGTGCGATAAAACTTCCCATCCAAGTGATTTCAACACTTCTTTGACTGGTTTTGCTGTATGAGACGGCGCGTTGTCATGCTGCAAAATCACCTTATCATATCTTTGAGCGTATTGTGGACGTTTTTCGATCAATGCACAGTTCAAATTGATCATTTGTTGTTGGTAGCGATCAGTATTAACTGTTTCTCCAGGTTTCAACAGTTCATAATATATGACACCAACCTGGTCCCACCAGACATAAAGCATGGTCTTGCGACCAAAGCGATCTGGCCTTGCAGTCGATAGGCCGCCTTCGCCAGGTGATAACCATGATTTTTTTCGCTTGGGATTTTCGAAATAAATCCATTTTTCATCACCCGTTACTATTCGATGCAGAAATGACTTCCTTTCATACCTTTGAAGCAGCATTTCACTGACGATTTTTCGATTTTCCAATTGCCTGTCATTCAATTCATGTGGCACCTATCTTCCCATCTTTTGGATCTTTCCCATCGCTTGTAATCGTTCACAAATTGCTACTCGGCTCACATTCAACTTTTCTGCCAATTGTTTTTGAGTTTGTGTTGGGTCTTCATCCAATAACTCCTGCAATTCCATATCTTCAAACGTTTTCGGCCTACCAGGACGTTTTTTGTCTTGAACGTTGAAATCACCACATTTGAATTGTCGAAATCACGTTTCACATGTTCTTATGGTTGGAGCATGCTCACCGTAAGTCTCTACCAGCAAACGATGACTTTCAGCGGCTTTTTTCTTTTGATTAAACAAGAAAAGTAATGCGTGCCGCAAATGCACGTTTTCAGGCACAAAACTTGACATTTTCAAAAAATTATTAATCTATAACGCTGTTATTTTGGCGGAACGTAACTTTTGTAGTTTTGAGGTTAATGTCAGTAGAATAAAATGACATATGTATCAAGTCATAACATTGTATACTTATGGCTAGTGACATCTGTTACAAAAACCGGAAAGTAATTACCGACATACCTGGTACTTGTAGGAGTTAACA